AGGCCTCCCCCCGCCCCGTAATCCTCGGTGGAGGAAGGTTGGGCAGGAAACGGGGGCAGCGGGGTGATGGGGGCGTCACATCCCTGCCATGGGAGAAGGATAGGGGATGCTCCAGCTTGGGTATTGGGGTGCAGGGCTGCGCGCTGAACGGGTGCCGCTCCCCCGTGCTTTGGGTTTCTCCAGAGTTCCCTTGAATTCCTGCAAAAAATCCTGGGTCTCCAATTCTTATCTCTAACTCTTATCTTTTAAACGGGGTTTAAAGCCGTGGGGTGCGGAGGGGCTGGGTTTTGGGGATCGTTACAGCTTTGGGGTGCAGAGGGTGAAAGCTCAGAGGTGCTCCTAGTAGGGATGTGCTGGGGGAATCATGGGGAAAGTTCCCCGAGCCCGGCAGCCACACGGTAGCTCTTTCCAACTTGCAATCCCATGGAAAAGGAGCCATCTGGAAAATCCAGCTGCTGTAGTGTTGTTCGGGGGTTTTTTATTATGCAAAAGAAAAAAATATTGCCGTTTATGGCAGACACATTTCAAAGAAATGTTAAGTTATTAAACAAAAATAAGACTTTTTTTTTAAAAAAAAAAAAGCAAATCGGACTTTTTTGGTAGTTAAAGAAGGGTGTGGATGGGGGAGAGAGGCACTTCTCTGCCATAGGAAAGATACCGTTCCATAAAACATGTGATCACATCTCAAATATATTGTGTAATCCGCTATTATTAGGGTATTTAAGATAAAAATGAGACCAGAGCACTTAAGTGAAACTCATCTCTCTATTAGGTTCCTTGATTTATATTTCATATTTTACTGAGTACAAATGCAGGAGGGGTTTTCTCTCTTTTTTTTTTTTTTTTTCCTTTTTTTTTTTCATGGGGTGGGATTGTCAGGAGCTTGTTCCTTGTGTTCTTCATTAGTGGAAATGGGTTTAACCCCTCGCCTGCGAGGATTGAAGAGTCAAGAGTGGAGGAGTAAAGTCCAGAAGCATTAGCGTGTGCAGCAAAAGGGTGAACAGCTGGGGCCGAGAGAGGCACAGAGCCGATTGTAAAAAGGGACTTTTTTTTTTTTTTTCTTCCCTGTGAAGAATTGTGTCATTTTTGTTAATTTTGATCTCTTTGAGCCATTTGGTTCTGGTTAAGCAAGACTGGGGCTGGGCTGGGTGGAAGTGCTTCTCAATATGGCATCATTTACCGTTAATATCCATCTAAAAATATCCATGTGTGTGTGTGTTGTTTTAATAGCTCTAATTCTGGAATGTGACGATGTCATTTTTATGAGGTTAGTGTAAAAAATCTTTTTTTTTTTTTTTTAAACATTTTTTCATCCCTTCCCAACTTCTTTCTTACCCTCCAAATGTAACAGAGGGAAAAGGGAAGATACAGACTCTCCTTGTAGATCCTCTTTCTGCCCCCTTCCTTGCAAAATTCTTGGTTTACTATCATTTTTAGGGTGGCTTTTTACTCAGTGGATGTTAAAACCCCATGAGAAGCTTTGATCCTGTCCAGGTGGAAAATCCCTAGGCTATTTTTGGGCAGCGGTTCCCATCGCGGGCCGGGTGAACCCGCTCCCCCTGCGCGGCAGGCAGCCACCACGCTGCTTTTGGCTCCGGCAGCTGCAGCGTCCGGGCATAATTAAAAAGTACACCCTCGTAAAATAAAATACCTGGTAGAATAAGGTAGTTTTCAAATACCCCAGGCAAGATTTTCCATTGCCCTTTTTGATTTCTTTGGGAGGCTGGGGCTTGTGCTTTTAGAAGGACCCAGGGATGGCTCCATCCTTGCCAAACTTTTTTTGAACCTCGTGACCTATTTCTTCCCAACTCGACCAGGCAATGGGAGGCTTCGCAGAGACACAGCTCGGGCAGGTTTTGAGGAGGAAAAGGCAGTTGCTAGACACGGGTGAGGGCGTAACGTAGGGGCTGAAGTGGGATGGGAGCCGCTGTCCCCTCTCCCGAGGCTCCTCCATCGCCGGGGTCTGATGGGACCTGGTGTTCCCCGTGGGAGAAAGGGAAGTTTGTGGCGTTTGCCGTGGGGCAGGCAGCCAAAAGCCGTCCTGGAACACCTCCATCACGTACAGGAGTGGAAGTGTGGAAGCCCACAGGCCTTTGGGGGAAGAATTAGTGATAATCGCCAGGTACGCTGGGCAGAAGCCGGGATAACGGGCTGATTCCCCGCTGGAGGATGAGAAGTCAGGGCAGGGGAGGATCCAGCCTCGGTTTATCCAGCAAACTGGAGAGATTTGGTGTCTCCAGGGAGAGATGAACATCCCCACAGGCTGGGTACCCCAGGAGCCCCCTTCCATGGCAGGGAAACCTCTGCTGCCACGGGAGCAGCTCGGAGCTGGTGCTGGCAGCGTGTGCTGCCTGGACAGAGCCTTCCCCACGCCTGGGATTAGTCTCAGCGGGGTTTATTTATTGACCCCGTCCCAGAACACACCTTCCAACATCCCTCCTTGCAAAAACCTGGTGTGTGGTGTGTCCCCACGCAGCCTGGGGTAGTTGTGGGTCACCTCCAGCTAAATCTGGGTCACCATCCTCTTCCTCAGCTTTGAAACGTGTTGCTGCCGCTGCTCTTGGGGAAGGCAAAGCCAAACAGCATCAGCTCTTGATGTAAGTGTCTGAGACATTACAAAACTTTTTTTATGGGATAATTTGCTGATCAAAGGGAGCCATCCAGGAGCATGATGAATTTGACACAACTCATTCGTTCCTAATTACGAGTAACGTGCTAATGACTCTTGAATAACACCATGCAGCAGGATACAATTTTATAATTTTTTTTTTTAAATCATTTTTTCTGCGGTTCGCAGAGCCAGGAGGTAAAAGTCGACTTCCACAGGGGGAGATTTTCTCCCTTCTGCTTTTGCCTCTCACTAAGGAGAGGTTTTGGGTGCTGCCTCGCTCGCTCAAGCCTGCGGAAAGGCTTTATCCCCCCAGCACTGGGCTGGTCCTCCTCCCCTCTGGGATGGGGGTAACAAATATAACACAGGGCTCTGCATCCAGAAATTCGATTCCGGGGGCTCCACCTGCCTTGTGCAGCTGTGCAACAGGTTTGCAGGCCCGGGTGCTGCCAGCCAAGTCGTCCTTCGTTTGCAGGCTGAGCTGAATTTAGGCTTAAGTGGAAATCGCTGCTGGGTGGTGGGGAGGAAGGGAGGGGGCAGCTCCGGGGCGCTTTTTTTTTTTTTTTTTTTTCTTTTCCTGTAAATCTTGTAATTTCGTGCTTCAGAGCACAACAAAGTGAGAGAGCCAGCGGGGAGTGAATTAAATTCCCCCCTGAGAGGCGGCGCAGGGTGGGCGGCCAGCGGTGGGGCTGAGCCAGCCGGGCACTGGGGATTCAGTGGCACCCATGGGCCAGCCAGGATTTGGGTTTAGAAAGAGAGATTCTGGGAGAGGTCCTGCCTAGCGCTTTGCTTGGGTGCTGGCATGATGTCTCTTCTATTTTTCCCCTCTTGGCTGTATTTGCCGTACCTGCTGCAGTGATTTTTGTTGGGCTGGGGCAGGGACTTGCCTGACCTCCGTGAGATGGTCCTTACAAACACCGGAGGAATTTCACATGGTGCAGATGGACGGACCAAATCCCTGCCAACCTCTGTCAAACACGTGGAAAATGAGATAAAGCTCAGGCAGCCTGTGTGCACACACAGGACGCAGCCAGTGGTCCAGCACCCATCCTCGGGTGGGTGCTGTGGTCCTGCCAGCTCTGCTGCACGCTGGTGCTGAGCAGCCGTCGGTTGAATTCCTCCACCCTTGGCTTTTAACTGGAATTACTGTTTTCATTTCAAAAAGTAATTAAAATATCAGACCTTGAGCTGTCATAACTGTCACATGGTTTTTGTGTTCACATTACCGATGCACATCTATTACTGTTAATAACAGGGAAATAACATGCACACAGAGAAGCGTTGCCTTGTGCTGGCTGCATCGGCTCTGGGGCTTGGACCACGGGTTCATACCAGCAGTGATTCCCAGCAGCAAATCGCCATGTTTGTCCTCAAGGATTTTATTTTTTTAATCGTTTAGATAAAGTGAGTTTGCAAAGCTGGGAGTCACACAGTTTTTGAGCATCCCCAGCAGCTGGGATGCTTGGGGAGAGGCAGTGGGACAGGGCAGCTCCGGGCACGCTGGGTTCTGGCTGCTCCTGGGTGCAGCCCCAGCGATTCATGATGTTAGGATCCCATCTGCTTTTGAAATTCCTGGGCTTTTGACTTTCTTGGAGCCGTTTGTTTCACGCACATGGTGACAAAAAATGCAGCCGGGCAAGGCAGAGGGTGCCCTGCACTGCATCTGGGGCACAGCTGTTGGGTTTGCATCTCTTGCTAGGAAATGATAATGTTTTTTTTAATAAAAAAAAGTAAGGCTGAGTCTGCTAAACCATCTGCTCACAGGCTCCAGGTTCTGTAGCAACTTTAAAATTACCTCTTATTTTGTAAGTGCTCTTCTAATACCTGTCCACATGCAAGGAGTGGGTCAGATTTATCCACAAAAAAAAAAAGGTGACACGGCTCGGACACCCTTTGCTTCAGATCTGTTACGCACACTCTTCCCAAGCAACCCCCTGTGCATGAAATGGCACCGCTTGATTAAATGCAAGTGATGAGTTTTTGTGGGTGCTCTGTCGAGCAGCTCTTTAAGGGTGCTGTGGGTGCTCCTTGGTTCGCAGAGGTTAAATAAAGAGCGGGTGGGCTGGAGCGGTGCGTTGAGGCGCATCCGCACCATGGGCGATGCCGCGCCGGTTGGCAAGCGGGTTTGGCAGGGAGGGATGGAGAGGCGGCGTGCGGGCTGGGGGCTTTCTTCTTTATGGCTGGAAATGCGGAGAATTAACAAGCGGCCCTTTCTTGGGGCGTGCGGCCGCCTCCTGGAAGCCGGGGCGGTGATTTACGGCCGGGGTGATGACAGCCGGGGGAACCCGCGGCACCGCCGAGCCGGGCCCTGACCCCGCGCCGGGCCCTAATGCAAACCTGTCCTGCAGGCAGGGCTACAATGACTTGGTTGTTCAGAAATGTACCCAAAAAAAAAAAATTAAAAATTTCTTTAAAAGCAAAAATAAGGAGTGTACGAGGAAGCAGGTCTGGGAGCAGCAGCCGGGTACCGCAGGGTTGTTTTCCTTTGAGCTTTCTTCCCTCTCCTGGCTCTCAGCTCCTGAATGAAGCTCCTTTTCTCGCCCTCGGCCACGCTCGCCTGTGACCAGCCAGCTCTTCTGCTGGCTCACACTTGCTCCTCTCTCTTCCTTGTCTCTTTGCAGGTTTTTCCTTAATTTCACCTGCTTGCTTTGGCTGCCGGCACTGCTGTGCACGGCTCACTCACGGCTGCTTGTGCCCGCGTGTGTTTCCACAAGCGTTTATTATCAATTTACATTGCTTTCTCCCTCTTTTGCCCGTTGTGTGACATCCCAGCGAGACACCTTCATCCCTGCACGCAAGTTAAGGGAACCCAAAACTCTTTCTAGGCAAACACCCATAAAAACAAGCAGGTTTCATCTTGGTCGCTTGTGCAAGTTGCTGAACTCCTCCTGCATCACTGTAAACTCCGGGCAGACGTGTCCATGGATTATTAATTCAGGGTGTCAGCCTGCACTTGGCCTGACCCGAATCTGGGCGGTGACTGGGACTTTTTGGTGCTCTGGCGTAACAATCAGATGTAAAATTAAATATACACGGTAGCTTTAGCCACAAGGGATGTCAGCTGCAGCAGAAATGTAGCGGTGGCTCCGTTCAAGGGTGGAATAAATCAGCCGGGAGCTGACCCCTCTGCCGGACCTTCAGTCGGGTGCTGGTTGTGCCCAGCTGGGGGATGCCTGTGCCAGGACTGGGAGAGGCTGGGGGTGACCCCCGTGAAAACCTGCCAGAGGCACAAAGGTGCTGGAGCTGGTGACTTGCTGAAGGCGGGGTGAGGGTTTGTGGAAGAGGATAGGATTGCCCCCAAGTCCCTGTGGTCTTCCAGGGGTTAGGGAGAGCAGTGGTCTGTAACAGGGTGTACTGGTCGTACTGGTGTGGCAGGAGGGAGCATCGGGGAGCGCTGCCCTCCCCCTCTGAATGAAGCCCACAGAGAACCAGGCCGGCTGGCCCCACGTCGGTGCTGCTCTGGGGAGCTGGAGGGGGGCAGTGGTGCCCTGAGGAGGGAGGAGGAGGAAGAGGGGCAGCCTTCCTCCTGCCCACCGTGCTGTCTCTCTTTTGCAGGCTCTCCAGGTGGCACGCCAGTTCCTGCTGCAGCAGGCCACGGGGCTGAGCTCCCCCAGCAGCAATGAGGGCAAGCAGCCGGCGGTGCAGGTGAGCCCCGAGGATGTGTGTGTGTCCCCCGTCACCCCCTCTTTGGGAAGGGCTCGGCTGCAAACTGATGCTGTGGGAAAGTGCACGTGCAAACGCACGTCGCCTCCATCTCCGGGATGATGAAAGCACACCAGGAGCCCGTAAAGTGTTAAATCCCCTGTAAACCTCCAGAAATTTCTTGGGGTTTTTTTGGGGTGTGTGTGGGGTGTGGTCCCCATTGTGTGCTGGTGTGGTGGGAAAGGGAAGGGCTGGCTCCAGGCGGGGTAAAGGAGAGAAGGTCACCGTGTGCCAACTGTCCCTTGGGGACAGCATTTTGGGTAGGCAGCTGCTGTTTTCCAGGGTCGGGGCACCCCAGGATTGATGGCGGGTGCTGTGAGTGGGGTGCAGGGGCTGGATAAGGGACAGTCCTTTGGGGCTGGAGCCGGGGCAGCTCCTCCAGCATGGGACAACCGCTGGGACAGGATAAAGGCCCATCTGGGGTGGGGGGTATGTGTGGCACGGGCAGGAAAATGGGGCTTTGGGTGGGCACAGCACCCTGCTCCCATAAGGGAGAGGGGGCCTCCCCTTTGCTCCTCTCCTTTGCTGAAGGGAAGGGGCAGAAAATAGGAAGGAAAGGGGCAAAAGAGGGCTGTGGACCTGGGGAGAGGGAGAAGCAGAAAGAAGCAAAGCCCAGGCGATGGAAAGTGACAATTTAAATAGCTGTGCGGAGGGGCTCTCCCTTCAGGCTAATTAAATTTATCGGAGAACAGCAGGTTACCTTATTAGAGCCACGTGGGTTTAATTAACAAAGGAAAGTAATTAGCACAAGCGCTCTCAGAGCTGGAGGTCCTGCCTATGCCAGGATGAGCCGGTGTGGCAGCGTGAGGGTGGCGAGAGCCGGGACTGGGATGGGCAATCGGTGGCTCCTCTCCCGGCTTGGCGAGCCACATGGCCAGGGCACGGCTGAGCCTCGGCTGGCAGCAAGTCCCATCCCGGTGCTGGTGGCACCAGGGGGGTGCTGAGGGGGAAGCCCAGAGCCCCCCCAAGCTGCTCCATCAGGTTGGGAAGCAGCAGCCGGGTACGAGCAGTGGGAATTAGTCAGGGCTTCTGCGGCACAAACAGGCGGCTTTTTCCAGTGGTGCTTGCAGGAAGGAAATGCAGTCACTGCATGGAAAATGTCTGCGAAGGACAAAGGCAGCGAGGGTGAAGTCAGATTCCGGTAACCGGCGCCTCGTTCCCCTCCATGGGTGTGTGTCCCTGCCTGCGCTTCTTCTCCTGCCTGCACTTCTCCTGCCTGCACTTCTCCTGCCTATCCCTTGCTGCTTCCCTGGCTGCGATGCTCACGGGCTGCGCTCGCTCGCCGCTCGCTCAACATCCCGTTCCCCCCTTCTCTGCTTTCTCTCGCCTCCCCTCCCTGCCCATCTGGCCGGCGGCTTTGCCGGAGTGAACTGGATCTGCCTTCCTCTCCCCTCCTCCCTTTCTGTGTTGCAAAAGGACTTGTGAAAGTTGTAGACGTGAGTCAGAAATAGCTCATAACTCAGCAGCAACCGGCCTCTTCCTCCCCCCGGCCCCGCCGGCCGGCCGGCAGCTGGAGCGGGATCTGACCGAGGGGAGATAGAGGATTAAGCAGACTCCTTTGAAAGGAAGTTTATCTAACGGCAGAGTGGTGTGGATGAGACTGGCCAGGCCGGCTGGAGGAGGAGGAGGAGGAGGAGAAAGGCTGAGTCCCAGTGCAGCAGCCGCTGGCTGGGGAGGGAGGGGGAAGCACAGCAGGACGGGGGGGCTCACTGCAGTGTTTTGGAACTGGGGTGCCCTTGCTGTGCCAGCCCGGACCCCCACCAGCTGCACCGCAGCCCCCCACGGCTGGGGGCTGGATTTCCACATCCCTCAGCACCAAAAACACAGGGTGCTGCCTTTCCAAACATGCTCCCCCCCCCCTCATTTTGGGCTGGGAGAAGCCATTTCAGTGGCCTCCTCTCAGCTCCCTGCCAGCCGGTTCCCGGCCCCCAGTCCCAGACAAAGGAGCAGGAGGGTCCCAGCGTTGGCAGAGAGAGCAGGACCCCCCCTCACCCAGCACCCGACACCCAGGAGCGCTGCAAATTCCCCGGCCTTGCCAACACCACCCACTCGGGTTTGTGGTGAGCAGCTCCCTGCCACCTTGCTGATGGGGGTGGGACGTTTGTGGGCCACCAAGCCAGTGGGAATATCAACACCAGTGGGTGACAGCACGCTCTTAAAAACAAACAAGGAGCTGCTGGGCTCAGTAGGGATCTTGGGGTGGGTTTTTTTTGGTGTATGAAACCCTCTCTCCCCCCCGAAGTGCCTGGAGGTGCGTGTGGAGAGCCTCACAGCTGACACTCGGAATTACAGCTGCATCTAAAAAAAAACCCACCAAAAACCCCCACCCTGAGACATTTCAGAATGATTTTACTTCTTTGCGTCTTTAAAACTATTAGAAACTTGCCGAAAAAGTGTTGCATTTGAGGCCTTTTGCCGCAGATGGTCTGCAGGGTGCTCCTCTCCGTTAGGCTGGTTGGGAGCAGTGGATTCCCCCCGCCCCGGGATCCTGCCAGCGTGGGGAGATGCTGCCGGTATCTGCCACGGTACGAGGTGCTGGAGCGTGTTTGGAAAGGCAGCAGCCCGTGTTTTCAGTGCTGGGGCATTTCTGGCTTGGAGGCACAGCTGAATCATGGGGTGACCCCTTCGGGGTCCCTTCCCCAGCTCGGCCCCCAGAGCTGGAGGTTTCCCAGCCTCCAGCGGGAGCAACTTGCTGAGGTTAAAAAGCCTCTGAAATGGGAGAGGGGCTGAAGGGCGCTGAGGGAAGGGGAGAGGAGTTTGGAGCAAACTGCGGGAAATTGCTTTTCTTTTGTCTGCTGCGGCGGGGAGGGCAGCGGAGCAGAAAAGTGTATTTTGTTGATTTGAAACTTGAGTGAAATGGGTAATGAAGACAGATCAATACCAGCCCTTCTACGTTCCCTCTCCAGGAAAAAAAATACAGCAGCCTGTCCGTCTCGGCTCACGCGGTGCTAGATTTTTCTATTTGAACTTGCAGCACCGCTGTCCGTCCCCCGTCTCCTCCTGCTGCTCCCCCTCCTCCTCCCGGAGCCCCCAACTCTTCCAGCCCGTTGCCACCACCACCGTCCCCGCAACGGTGGTTTGGATTAACGGGGGGAGCAAAGAATTCGCCTCAGCGTGAAAAAGTCACTTCAATCCCGGCAGGTTTCATCGGCGTGATGAGCCGTGCCAGCACCCTGTGCCCGTGGAGGAGACGTGCCCCGCCGGGGGTCCTGCCCGAGCGATGCTGGGGGGCAGCAGCTCACCCCACGCCACGGCAGGGCCGTGCTGAGGAAGGGGCTGCCAGGCACTGAGCGCTCCAGCCCTCTCCTCCACCACGAGCATCCCCCAGCCGGTTCCCTTTCAACTTTTAGCGCCTGGCAGCCCAATTATGCATGATTAGTGCCTCCCCGGTGGGGCGCGCTGCGCTAACGAGGAGGCACCTCGGGTCGAACACGCAGGGGATTGATTCCTCCTTTTCTCTGCGTGGAGCTGAACATCAGGGGCTGGTTGTCCTCCACGCAGCTACGCTGGTGCCCCCTCACCTGCTCACCCCGTGCTGCCGCCCTCCTCCTGACATCACCACCCAGGGCAATTAATCCTTTGGTTTTAAAGCTGTTCAAATGATTAATAAAATAACGCCATAGCCTCAAAACCCAGCCTGGCACATGGAGCAGGAGCTCCCTTGCAGAGCTGGGTTTGGTTTTTCCTCTGACCCCGGGTAGATTTTGGTCCGTCGTCTCCGTCGTGTGTTGGTAAGGTCCAGATATGGTGTGGGGTGAGCAGGGAGTAGAGCCTGGGCGGTGTTTGGGTGGCCCTGGGCCACCCATCAAGGCACATGTAACCCTGGCTGGGGCTCCACTGGTGTCAGTGGCATCGCTGCCTGGCCCCGAGCGTTGGAAGCTCTTGCAGACGCTCTGAGCCAGATGAATCTCTGAGCTCGCCGGGGGATGCTGAGCACAAGGAGGGACACGTGGATGTGCCTGCACGCTTTGGCTGGACTCAAAGTGAAGGGTTTGCTCTGCTCCAGCTGCAGCAGCTAGAAGTGGGTGCTTTGGAGGGGGGGATTTGCTCATCCCCTGCCCCTAAAAACGGCAGACCTGAAGCTGCTCTTGGTGGTGGCTGTTTCCCCACTTCTGTTTTCGGCTCCCGGCCTCCTTTGCCAACCTCGGTTTGTTTCTGTTGGTTTTGGATTTGGAAAAGGTGTTTAAAAAAAAAAAAAGTGTTTAAAAAAAAAAAAAAAAAAGAAAAACAGCGCAAACATGTTTGCTGTTGTTTTTAATCGGGAGTTAAAACCCGAGATTAGATCAGAGACAAGGACGCACAGTGCCTCGGGCCCTGCGGGAAGCATCGAACACCCCAGGAGCTGGCGGGCACCCACCACGGGGAGAGGTTTGCTCATCCCAGTGCCCCCAGCGTCCCCCCCCGAGTCAGTGGGGATGGGGAAGGACGATGTGTGGGCTGCGCCTGCCTTCACGCAGGAGCTTGGACGTGGAGTTTTAGGTGGGGACATGGAGATCCTCCTTCCCGTAGCGGCTGTGGCGTGCTGCCCCCGCTCCCCGGGGACACGGCGGCTCCTGCAGCAACCTCCCGGCGTGGGTGATGGCGCAGCGGGGAGGTGAAGGTCGGTGCAGGGATGCTTTGAGGCTGAGCAAACCACAGGCTTGCTCACACGCCCCAGGCTGATGAGGGATGTCCCGGCTCCCACGCTGTGCCAAGCCAGCTGTCTCAGGGGTCAGGAGGGCGGCCGTCCCTCTGATGGCAGCCCCGCAGCCCCGAGAGCCAAGACGGGCCGTCAGGCCATGGCTTTCCCCGCTCTGCCTCATGGCTGGGAGTCGCAATGTGCTTCCCGTAAAAAAAAAAAAAAAAAGAAAAAAATTAAGAAAAATTTAAATAAAAGCGTCGCTCCCCCATCCTGCTGCGTTACGCCTGGCCAAATCCTGTTTCGCTCAGCCAGCTTTGGCAGAGTTGCTCCACGCTTACGCTGAGCGCCGAGTTTCCCCTGTAATACCCGTCTCGTTTTCCACCCGCTGCCTGATGATCCGCGTCCGCCCCGTCCTCTGGCACGGAGGGATTACAACCGGGACCGCCTGGAAAATCACCCCCTCGAGATCCCGCTCGCCGGTCGGAGCCGCAGCGCCGGGGCTTTCTGGGAGGCAGCCGGAGCTGTTAGTAAGCAGTTTTGCGGAGTGGCAGCCGGCCAAGGAGTGAGTCAAACCCTTCCTGACTCGGTGTCTGGCAGATGCCAGCTCGTGACGCGTCGGCCGGGGACCAGCCGCTGCTGCGGGGCCGGCTGCCGGGACCTGCTTCCCCAGGGGTTTGCTGCCTGCGCTGCGGGACGTTCCCCAGCTGCGCTGGCACCTGGGGAGGGACTTTGCTGTGGGGTGCACGGGATGGAGAGGAGGCAGCTAACCCCTCGTCACCTCCCTGGGCTGCTTTGCTCGTGCTTGGGGTGTTGACCGCTGTGAGCCCCTGGATTTGAGCTTTTGAGGTGACCGTTGCCCCCCTGTTATCGAGGGATGCCCCGTTACCGGGGCAGCACTGCAGCCTCCCTGGCACCGGCGTGGGATGAATGGCCACAGTGGGAGCAAAACTTGCTCTAAATGGGCATTTTTCCAAAGTTCCTGCCCTCCCTGGAAACCTTAGCTAAGAGGGGGATGTTTTCCGTGCAGGGGGGAAATTCTTCGTACGACTTTGGCGTCCGTCAAGGCTTGGGGAGGCGGCAAAGCCCAGATGCCCCTCGCAAGGGCCGGCACCGCTTCACCCCGTTCACACCTCATCCCCTCGCAAAGCCGCCGCCATTTCCCCGTGTCAGCTCCGCATCCGAGCGCGGAAGAAAAAGCCATTTAATGCAGACAAAGGTTGTATGAAAATATAATTCTGCTTTTGTTAGCAGCCATCAAACTCTAAAAAGCGTCGCTTTTGTTTTCTTGTAACATTGTGAAAACCTCGTGTCGGATCGAGAGCTGGGGCCCTCTCGACTAATCGCCTCTCCTTTGTGTTTTTAGATTATAGGGGCAATTAGTGTTGTCAAAACCTCTGGCAATTCTCTTTGCTCTTGACAGGGTGTCAGTCCGCTGGGCGAGAAATGGAAGGTGTTATAACTCTCCGGTAATTAGGATGCCTCCGATTTGAAAATGCCAGCAAACGTGTACGAGAGGCCGCACGGCGGCAGTGGGGGCGGGGAGGCCGCCCGGATGGGGGATGCGGATGAGCAATTAATTAGGGGCTCTCATTCCGAGCACGTTGCCAGCTGATGAATTGGCAAAGGGAAATTAGCAGGATGCTTAGTTCCCAGCGAGCGGGCGCGCACCCCGCTCGCTCTCGTCTTGCCATCTTCGCGAGCTTCCCTCCTTCCCAGATGTTCGCCGAGGGCTTTGCACAGCTGGTTGCGAGCACCTGAGCTCTGAAACAGCAGCTCCTCACCGGTGCTGGTGCTGCTGGGGCGGGAGCTTGGGGTTCTCCAGGCTCTCTGGGAAGGTGTCAACGGGTGCTGGAGCCCTCGCGGGGCTTTGCAGCTCTTTGATGGGGATGCTCCGACAGCCTCCCGGGCCCTCCACCGCCAGGCAGGCTGGTGCAGGCGCCCCAGCGGCAGCCCTTGGGTGTGAACACGCAGCAATTAATCAATAACTCTGACAGGGAGGCAGCTGAGGGGGGATCGCCGGCGACAAATAAAACTCAGGCCGCTTGCGACGCCTCCCTCCAGCAAAATGCCTGAGTAAACAGATAAGCCGTTGCAATCTACCTTGAAGGTCAGCGTGCTCCAGCCCGGTCGGACGCCCACCACGGATGGGAGGGACTGCGTGGGGCCACCTCCGGGGTCCTGTCACCGTTCTGTCCCACTGAGGGTGGCTGGTGGCGGGGAGACAGCCCTCAGGTTGGGCAGCAGATCCGAACAGGGGAGTCTGGGCATTGCTGGGGGTCCTGGGCAGGAGGGGCTGGCGGGTTCCGTGCTCTCATTTGGACTTCGCCAGGTGCTCTGAGGCCGGTTGCTTTGTTTCTCTGTCCATTGGTCTCTGAGGTCCCAAGACCCTGGAGTGAGGGGATGAGAAGTCATCTACTCTGGATTGAAACTGGGTCCTTGGCTTGCACCAGGAGCCTGGCCTGGGCTTTGCCATGTCCCACACACCAAGGAGTTCCCTCCTCCTTGGGGTCCCCTTGAGGAGCCTGAGGGTGCCAGGCAGGGGCCAGCAGGAGGCTGCTGGTGGCCCACTGGCTCTCCTGCCCCCAGCCAGCAGCAGTAGGGTAAGGGAGCATCTAGGAAGGGTTATTTAATTACAGCAGAGGCACAACCCTGCCCAGAGCCTGGGGAAGGGACGGGCAGAGGGCTGGCACAAGGCAGCTCTTGATGGCCGTGCTTGGGAAGGCGGCACTGCTCCACCTGGGCAGGACCGGGGCTGGGATCCATCACTGACACCTTCCCCGGCTCTCTGGCGCTGTGCTGTGGGGGTGTGGACCCGTGTTATGATAACCAAAGGCAGGGGTTGGCAGGTTTTCTCAGCCCTCCCTCCACTTGGCATGGTAATTATGTGAGTTACTGGTGTCAACTGGAGGTAAAGCTTTGATGTGTCTATGGAAAACCTGGTAACCTCTTCCTCCGTGCTCTGCTTTGCAGAGTTATTTGGGTGATCGGTATCTTCCCGGCTTCCCTTGGTGTTTCCCTCCTCCCTGCATCCTCCGGGACCCTGAGGGAAGGAGGGGTGCCCGGCACCTTTCCCATGCTCGCAGGAGGGGAGGGAGCTGTGGTTTGGAGCTGGCTGCCCATGCACCGCTGGCTCCTCTAGATGCCTAATTCCCCCAGCTAAGCGGTGTTTAAAGAAGACCCCACGGGCAGAGATCATCCTGCTCACAGGGTTGGGGAGCTCGTGCTTTTAGAAAGCTCCACCCCAGTGCCGGCAGCATTGGAGGGCACCTCCCTGCCATCACCGTGTCCCCAGCGGTGGCCTCAGCATGCCAGGACAGACCAGTGGCCAAGGGCTTCACCCAAAGGTGACGCAGGGATAGCGGGGGCATGGGCGATACCTGGGGAGAGCCTGGGGGGTGGGAGGCACTTGGAGGCTGTCGGTATTTCTAGAAGGGTTCTCCGCGGTTGGAGCTGGGAGTAGTGACGTGTCCCTCCTCTCCGCAGGTCCCCGTGTCTGTGGCCATGATGTCCCCGCAGATGATCACGCCGCAGCAGATGCAGCAGATCCTCTCGCCGCCCCAGCTCCAGGCCCTCCTGCAGCAGCAGCAGGCGATAATGCTGCAACAGGTAACGCTGGTCCCGGGCTGGCTGTGCGTGGGCTGGATCCAGCCCAGCTCGATCCTTTCCCGCTGGAGCATGTTGTGGGCAGGCAGACGTGCCCTTTCCTCCCCGAGCTCCTGGCTTCCCCTGACATTTATTTCCTTGGGGATTCCCAGCACATCCACACCGAGAGATGAAAAGAGCTGAGGGTGCTAACGGTGCCGGCAAAGCCAGATGCTGGTGCCCTGAGTCAGGGTCTCCGAGCCCAGAAGGCTCCTGCCTAGGGGCTGGTTTGGGGCTGCCCAGCTCTTGGGGAGAGCTGGGGTCAGGGGTGGATGCTCTTGGCTCGACGGCTCACAGCCGCTGCCTGGGCTTTGGGGCAGGTGCCTGGGTCCGGCTCCAGACCTGAGCGCATGGGTTTGTTTCTCACGGCCCTGCTCAGCTTTTCCGGAGCGCTCTGTCAAATGTAAAACGAACAGGGAGGGAAGAAAAAGGAGGAGAAGAAAAAAAACAAACCTCAACTCCGAAACAAAACAGGTCTGCTTGGGTAAACACCTCCCGCCGGCGGGAGGGAGAGAAGGAGAAATCCCACAAGCATCCTCCACACCCTTCCTCCTGCCCCCAGTACCTGTTTACTCCAAACAGGCTGATAAGGATTCAAGGTTGGCCCCAGGGAAAGAACAAAGGGTAAACACTACCCTGGGTGGGTCCTTCTCCAAGCCTCTTTGGAGCCGGATAAAGAAACACGTTTGACTGCAAATTAAACAACCCAGGCCGGAATAGCTCGCATTCTCCACCAGAAGAAAACCAAACATCACACCTCTCACCCCTGACCCAATGTTCCCGCAGCCCCGCTCGACCATGTTGCAGAGACCTGGCTTTGATTGGCTTTCGGGTAAACACCCAGGCTTTCCAAACCTGTTCGCCGACAGAAAAAGCAAAGTTGCTGCTGTCAGCGCTGTCAGCCCCGAGCTGATAAAGGCTTCCCGGCATCCAAAGGGGCATTCCTGAGCCGCCGCCGTCGCCCCTGCGCAGGGGTACGGGCCGGGTGGGAGGGGGCTGCTGGGTCTCGCTGACCTCCCCGTGCCTCTGCCCCCCCCCGCCTGCAGCAAATCCATCACCAACAGTTTATTTAGGGGCTGGAGCGAGAGCTGGCGTCAAACGCCGACAGGTCCCGGCGCTGCCTTCTGCAGACTGGGACCCTCTCTGGTGACTCGTCGCGGCCCTGGGGTGTTTTTCTCTCTTTTCCTGACCCCTCTGATCTGGCTGGGGTGCTGTGAGGAGCCGGCTTGCCTGCGCTTTCCCGGGGTGCCGGTGAAGGGGGGTGCCAGTCTGAGCCCCCGGTGATCGTGGTGTTGCACCGGCCAGACCAGGGGCTGTGGCTGCTCTTGGCCCTTTCCCAGCTGGGAGCCCCCTGGCTCTCACAACACTTTCCAGGAGTGTTTTGGGGTCCCACCATACTGAAAATGGGGTTTGTCTGCGGCTGAAACGCTGCGTTACGTGCCAGAGCGCCTGGGCCTGTTTCTCTCAAGGGGCTCACCCACCTCCTGGCGTTTCATATCCCCCTCTTGAACAAAACCTCCGCCAGTACAGCTGCAAAATCCCCAGGATACACAGGAATTACTGAGCCGGCGGGTTGTGACCCTCCTTCCTGGGGCTGGGCAGGGCAGAAGCTCCCGGACCGGCTGGTGGTAAAAAGTCAGAGCAGGGGGTCAGTGTGAAAACGAATGGCAGGTTTGGCATTGGTGATGTTTGGGGGTTTTACTTGTGGGGATCCAGGGCCCTTTGGAGTGTGTGCCCAAGGTTTCTTCTACAGCCGTGACACCTTCAGCGGGTGTTTTTCCTCTTAACCTGCAGCCAAGAGCCTGCCCTGGTGGCACGGCACCAGGAGCTGGCATGGCTGTGGCAAAGCCCGGTGCTGGGCACGGGGTAGTGCTGGGCAGGGAGATGCGAACGGGGTGTTTCTGCTGCTAATCTGGCTTCTCTCTCCCCTCCCGTCCCTCCCTCCCTCCCTCCCAGTTGCAGGAATACTACAAGAAGCAACAGGAGCAGCTTCACCTGCAGCTATTGACACAGCAGCAAGCCGGAAAGCAGCAACCCAAAGAGGTGAGCTCACGCAGATGGGTTCTGGGCCATCAGATCTGGCAGCAAATAAAAGGGGGACCAGCACAAAACAAGGTGTGTGTGAATCCCAGCACCCAGGGCAGCCGCCTGGGAGCCAGCAAGGATGGGACATGGGGGCATCCTGCTCCTGGGGGGGTGCCAGGGTGGCCAGTCAGGGCGCTGGGAGTTGTTTCTCCTCCCTATCTGCGATCTGGCACATGCACCGAGCTGCATCGTTCTCAGCGCCGCGTCCTTGTCGGCGCATCTAGAAACTTGGGGCGGGTGTGGGGAGCGGTGAGGGTGGTGGGTGTGGGCTGGCAGCGCCGCCGGACCCTCCCCAGTGGGAAGGGCAGGTCGCTGGCTCCCCTGGCACAGAGCGAGGGCTCCCCAAATCCTCCTCGCAGCGGGGGCTTGGCTCAGCCCTTGCCTGACTCACCGGCCCTGCCAGGCTCTTGGCACAGCTCGGATCGGGCAGCCCAGTCCTGACTGAGCTGACATGGCAGCACCCTGGCAAGGAGGCAGGCAGGTGGAAACCCAAACCAGGACTTTTCCTGCCTGGAAAGGTGGTTCTGCAAAACCCAAACTCTGCGTGAAATAGCAGCGATGCAGGAAAAGGGCTTTTCCAATGGGAGCTGCTCAGGCAGGGGATGCTGTCAGCCCCCCGCGACTGGGTCAGCAGTGGTGGGTCCTTTTCTGGAGAGGTGGCTGCATGGTGAAGTGGTTATGCTGGTGTGATTGCATCAGTCTTGTATAACTCCCTTTACCCAACAGTTTATACTGTCCTTTCCCATAGTAACACACTCGGAGGCGTTGCAGCTGTATCAGCAAGGCTTAATTTTGGGGATGTGCTGGTCACACGGAGGCTGAGGGTCAACCCCGACCAGCATCAGGCAGACAGCACCACTCCCTTTCATTTTTTTAAAAATATATTTTTGCCCCTCTATCTTCCCAGATCAGTGCTGCAAGGGCAGGGGGGGTGGTGTGTGGGTTATTTTACATTGCACGTTGCTGCTTTATGTCTGGCATCGCTGCTGTCCTTCCGTAGGCTCCCAGCACAGAGGGACATGGGGCTGAGCTGCTCAGTCCCTGCCCCAGGCCGAACATCAGTAGCAATGATAGAAAAATGGGGTGCTGGGGCTGTTTGTTGCAGTCACTCCTCCCGAAATCCATCACCCTGATTTACAGCACTTCTCAGCACTTAAAACTTCAGCTTTCTTTGGAACGAGAAAGCATTTAAGCCCAGACTGTGCATTTGGGTGGCTGCAGTGGGGGCTCGACAGCGAAGCACCCGCCGGCGCTGGGGGAATAGGGCAGCTGGAGCGGCGCGGGGTCGGGCCGGCACCCACTCGAGCCTTCAATAGACTTTGACCCGGGCTTTCATTGTGGGATGTCGGCGTATTTACGCAGCGTGTGCAGGGTCAGGCTTTATCAGAGCCATCTCCAGGAGCTGGAGTAGCTGCTCGTGCACCAGGAACGGGGGAGGCATAAATCTGAGCTTCCTCAAGGACTTTCCTCTTGGCCGTGGCAATGTTATATTGCGACAACGAGTGGGGATATAATTAAGCTTTAACAAAGGGCTTGCTTAGCGGGCTTCTGGTTTAAAAAGCGCGTGTTAACTTTTAATTAAATGGTACAGAGGAGATGAGAAATTTATCCACTAAGAAAGTCTGAGTGGCCAGCGGGGGGTGGGTGGGAAGGGGCATTAGATGCTGCTGCAGGGGTGTGCATCCAGCTCCTGGCAGCATCACCAACCCATGGCCGGGAAAAACAGCGAGAGGGTCCCTGTGAGGGGATGCCACAGTATTTTCCCCTCCCTAAAACTCCTGGCCGGGCTTTGTGGTGTTGGCTTCACCCCATGAATTTGGGCGGCTGCTATTAATAAGGCAGGCGCTTGCCTGCCGGGAATGGCGATGCCGTCGCTTCCCCCGACGGCGCGGGGAATAGCTGGCGTGTCTGGGATGCCGCCACAGAGCCGCTCTTGGCCAGCGTCGTCTCCTTCATGGAAATCCACGGCGGTATTTAATTACGGCCCCGCTGCAAGGTTTGTAAACCGAGCGCCTTCTGCTTTCCCTCTGCTTGATTTCAAGGACTCGCCTCGGTGTGGTTGTAAGTCAGCAGCTCGTCTGCGAGCGCAGAGGGGGATCAGCAGGTGGGAACGGCTTTGTGCCGCCGCGGTGCTGGGAGCAGGGAGCAACATCTCGTGGAGGAGCGGCTCAGATCTCCCCAGGAGAAGCGGCGCGGCCAGAGGTCCCCCGGCAGCTGCAGGGAAGGGGAGAGCAGGGAAAAAAAAGGAAGCGTGGAGGATGGAAACGTGTCGGAAGCGCCTGTCGGCAGCATCCTGTCCCAAAGGATGCGGGGGGTGCTTTGTGTCCGTGGGCTGCGAGGGGCTGCACTGCCGCGGGGAGGCACGAGGAAGGGGCCGAGCAAGGAGGCTGATCCGAGCATCCATGCGTCCCGCTGGGATGGGGCAGAGCTGCAGCACAGCCCAGCCCAGAGCGTTTTCCTGAATTAGGGTGTCAGGGTGAACCCCCATCAGCATCCTGGACACAGGGGGAGCAAGGAGCTGCCAGCGCAGGGCTGGGATGGCTCCGGGCAGCCCCTCACCCTCGTGGCAAGAGGCAGCGAAGCTGGTGTCTGCTGTCCTGCTCTTTCCCCGGCCACTTTGCCCCTCTAAGCCCAGCTTCTGCAAGTGGCATCCAGGTGCAGAGACCCCAATATCCCCTGGGGGTGAGGCCAGTGGGTCTCCGTGTGCCCCCCAAAGCTGCCGGGGTGGCAGTGGGGGGTTGCCCTCTCCCGAGTCTGGTGGGGCAGGGGAGGGGGGTGGCGCGGGAAGGGGGCTGCCTGCCGCCTAACCTCAGTGTCAGCTTAATGAACTGCTCCTGTCAGTCCCGTGTGTCACGCCGAAACTCCTCCTGATGTGCTCATAAATCAAAGTGACGGCAGCTCTTACCCCGGTAGCTGCACCCAGTCATCTGCATCTAATGTACGCCAAGAGTAGGCGAAGCTCCGGACCCTGAGCCCCCGCGCTGGGATGGGGGGGTGTGGGGGCCAAATGCAGGATTTGGCCCTAACACAGAGCAAGCTCCTTTGGCGGGTGCTGGGGGGTCCCCTCTGGGAGGGACTCGGCCGGTGTTTGCGGGGCTGAGGTTTGCTGAGGGGAGCGGAGCTGAGCGAAGCTTGTGGGGCGATGGCTGAGGAGAGAGGTTTTCAGTAAGGCTGGGGCTGAAATCCAGGCTGCAATCACCACCCTGCTTCCTCCAGGGCAAACTGGGCTCGGAGCCCCCGAGCTGGTGGGTGCTGTTGGGTGGGTGTGCAGGTGGGTGCCCCTCTTCTCCCATCGCACTCGGTGGGTCTGAGCTGTGCGGTTCGTTGGCTCTGCGGCGCAGCAGTTGCTGTCTAGGGACTGGCAGATGGGCTTCCCCACAGAGAACTGGTCCTTGTTTTGGCTTAGCCCACGCGTTTGTGCATCCACCAGGAACCAGGGCTTGTGTTCCCAGGGCTGGTCCCTGTGTTCACAGTCTGGTGAAGCTGGAAGGATGTGCACGTGGGTTTGAAGCATGTGAAGGAGCAGCTTCGACGTGGACAGCGTGGTCCGTGCCAGAACCACACACGGGGCAGGGCTGGGCTGCTGCCACGGGGGGGTCTGACTCCACCGGCCGCAGCTCTGGGGAGGCCGGGTTGGGAGAGCCCAGCTGGGCTAGGAGGCGCAGGCAGCGTGCCCTGGGGATCCTCATGACTTCATCCACTCCCAATTTCCTCCTGCTCCGCAGCCTGGAAGTGCCATGAATGAGGCTGTGTTCACACAGAGCCCGGGCTCGCCCTGGGGCCCCCGGGGAGGGCGGTGGCGGGGCTGGGAAGAGGAGGAGAAGCCCGTCCCATCCCGTCCCATCCCATCCTGTCCCGTCCCAGCTGCTGTTTCTAACCAAGGCGAGGACATGCGTGTCCATCGTGCAGAGCTTCCCCTCACAGGGGACCAGGCCACCATGGGGGACAGCGCTGCCTCTGCTAAGGCCCTCGGGTGTGCAGCCTGGTCCTGCATTTTTTCCTCCATCGTGGTCCATGGTCTGTTCAGACCCCGTGGCCTGAAGCCCTCCTGGCTCAGCACCTTGCTCAGGAGCGAGGGCAAGCACAGGGATTTCTCTTCACTGAGCAGAAATCGCTTTGATCTGTGCCTTTATCTTCATGCATCAGAGGTGCAGGACTGAGGCAAAGCCAGAGAGGATGCAGACCTGACTCTGCGGCGACAATTTTGCCATGGCGTGAGGTGAACAGGACAGGGAGGAGCCCACACATCCCTCTGAGGCTGAGAAACCAAATTTAAACTCTCCCTGTGCCCTAGACAGAACTCACAGGCGTCGCTGAGGTTGCAGACCACAAGGATTTTGCTGGGCAGTGCCTGGAGCTCATCCTCACCCTCCATTTCACAAAGCCACGGCTGAGCATCAGCAGCATCTGCAGGGGACAGTCTGTATCCCGCAAGGCCTGGGGTGCTGCTTTGGGTTACAGCAGTTCTGATTGCAGACTAAGCTGTGAACTGGGTTTGCCACAGAGTGAGTCTGCTGTGCCCTGCTGAGCAGAGAGCGAGAGGGAGCCTCGGGGATCACTGAGAGCGAGGAGGGTCTGTGCCAGGTCCCTGGGATCCCCAGTGCACCAGGAGCCTGAATCCCCACGATGCTCAGACCCAGCCAGATGGTTAAAAAAAGGACATTGCCTATTGCAGAGCTCTTGTGCTCGTCACTAAGCACATGGGCATGAAAATGCTGCTTTTGGGGCCAAGCAATGGCGCTGCAAAGTGCCCCCACTCAGGAGCGCAGTGAGATCAGGGGGGTTGCTCTGCCCAGAGGGGCTCCGGCACTTTTCTTCCTCACGATTAAGGGAGCTGGCGTGCAGGGGCCGGGCTGCTGCCGGGGCTGGTCAGCGTGGCACAGCCGGCTCACGCTGCCTGCCAGCCCGGCTCCTCGCAGCCCACAAACAATGTCTGCACAAACAGAGGGGTTCAAGGGGTTACAGAGATGCCTGCCCTGCTAATGAGGCTGGGCAGGCCCGGGGCAGCTCCCCTCTCGTGGCCGACTCGGATTAGCAGCTGCTTGTCCCCATCCCTAATTGAATTCTCTCCCCTTCAGTTAATTCTCATGGATTTCTTGGTGCCTCCCCAGGGACCCGTCCTGCCTAACTAGTTTAGGGCTGGCTATGCCCGTCAGAGCGTGGCCAGCTCCTGGGGACAGGTGGGAGAGTTGCCTACCTGAGGGATGCTCATGGTCAGGGTGGGGGCACCTGTACTGACGCTGGGCACCTGCTTCCCTGCGAACAGTTGTTTTGTGCCCCCCAACAAGAAGGGGCTTGAAATGGTAATTTTGGGCAAATAGGGAGCATTTCCCTGCTTAAAGGAGGGTCTTGTGCATCCAGGATGCTGTTTGGGTGCCGGGAGCCCCCTTTTTTGGGTGATTCTCCACGCCTGTGGGAGCTCACCCTGTGGCTGAGCCTCCCCATGTGGGACACCCCGCGGCTCGGGTTTGTGGGTTCACCCACCTCGCAGGCAGCACTGGGTCTCTGCTGTGAGCAAGCCCCCAGCTCCGCTCACTCCCTCTCTTTTTCAGTGCTTTATTTTTCCCTTCCCCTTTCCTTTCCTTCCCCTCCTCTTCCGACAGATCAAAGCCTCCGTCCGGCTCCGCCGTGAGCTGAGCAGGCCCAGCAGCAGGACGGAGGCACCCGCAGCCGTGGGCCCGTCGCCGCGGGCGTCCCTCATTGCCACCGGGCCCCTGCCTCCCCTGCAAAGGGGTTTTCTGCTGTGAGGCTGGAAATAACACGCTTTGATTTCTCCCTTTTGTCTCCCAGCAGCCGTTGGGGAACAAGCAGCTGGCCTTCCAGCAGCAGCTCTTGCAGATGCAGCAGCTCCAGCAGCAGCACCTGTTAAACCTGCAGCGCCAGGGGCTGGTGAGCCTCCCGCCGGGGCAGGGCACCGTGCCCCTCCAGACCCTGCCCCAAGGTAAGGACCCCTCCCGAGGGTGGGGAGCGCACCGGGGGGCCCCCACGCTGCAGCTTCTCCTTGCTTCTAGCGAGGGAGGGCTGGGGAGGGGGCTGGGGTCTTGCTTTTCCTAATGCACCCATCTAAAGTTTGGGGCCTGATGGTGTTAACAGCCAGAGCAGCCTGGGAGAGTTTGAGCTGGGTTGAAGCGCGGGATTGGGCCCCCGGCTTCCTCTTGCAGAGGGGTGCCAGGGTGTGGGGAGCCAGGGTCTCCTCCCCTCTGGGAACAGCTCTGCAGGGCTCCCTGGGTGCTGCGGGTGCCTTGTTTTGGGCCTCCCGATGGGGCTGGGCAGCCTTTCCTCCCCGGGTGTTGGCCCAGAGGGCTCTGCCCACCTTGGGGTGATGATTTCCTGAGTTTGGGGGAGCTGGGCTGTGCCCACCAGTCAGGGAGGGAGCCCCTGGGGTCCCGCGCCAGCCTGGCGCATGGGTGCCAGCGGGTGCTGCTCCTTCTCCCTGCTGACAGCGGGCGCTTTCTCCCCGTGCTGTAGCTGTGTGCCCCTCGGACCTCCAGCAGCTTTGGAAGGAGGTCACGGCTGCCCAGCCCGTCGAGGACAGCATTAAGCAAGAAGGTCTCGACCTCACCACCAACACCTCCAACTCTACCTCGTTTTCCGCCGCCAAGGTCTCGCCTCCCATTTCCCATCACCCTCTGCCCAATGGACAGAGCACCATGCACACGCCGAGAAGGGACAGGTAGGGCTGGGCCGGGCCCTGACACTTTGTGTTTTTACCCCCGGAGAGGTGGAAGGGGCCAGGATCTGTCACCTGCAGGGCTGGCAACAGGGTTGGGAGGGTTGGGGGGGGGTGGGTTTCTGCCCACCCTATAAACAAGTCCTGTTGCTGTTTTGCTGCGCCCACGTGCCCATGGAGGAGAGGGAGTTGTCACTGTGGGGTGCCCCATGGGTCCCTGAGCTGGCCCCGTGCACGGGAATGCTGGAGCATCACGGTTGCCCTGTCTGACAGTTCCTTTCCCTCTCCTGCAGCTCTTCTCATGAAGAGACCCCCGGCTCCCACCCGCTCTACGGCCACGGAGAGTGCAAGTGGCCAGGCTGCGAAACCCTCTGTGAGGACTTGGGACAGTTTGTCAAGTAAGTGTCCGCCGTTTTTGGGGGAGATTTTCCTGGAGGAGGGGAGAGCCTATGTTCTCAGGCTGGCAGAGGGGGAGCCCCTGGAAATGAGTCTGGACACGCCAAAGTCTGTCTGCCCGGAGCCAGGGGGCCTCCATGCAAAAGGAGGAAACACCAGAGATTGCTGCTCGAGGAGAAGAGACCCGGTGCAGTGGGCAGGAGCGGGCAGGCGCAGGCAGCAGACGAGGGGAGTTTTCAGCTCCCCTCCTGGGGGGCGAGAGGAGGGGAGGAAGCAGATGGCGGCGCGGCAGCCCGCTGACACTGCTTGTGGGCTCCGGCGCTGACTGATTAACTCCGCTGTCGAAGAGCCCTCTGCTAGCGTCAGGGTCAAACAAATTGTTTTCACGCTTCGTCAGAGGTTTACTTAATTAGTTCATTTGCAATTAGATCTCTTTGTAGCCAGGATTTTTAGCAAAGACATCAGAAGGAACTGACGGGCTTGCTTGCTCCTTCCCCCCCCGCCTCTCCGGCTGTCTGCTCGGCGCAGCGGCCGAGACGCGCCGGCGCACGCTTTGCTCTGCATTGATGAGGTTTTGGGTTTTTTACAAACCGATCCCGTCCGCTGCCACGTGCTCAGGGCCGGCTCCGGTAAGAACATCCTTCAGACTGCCCCAGCTTCCTTATTCCCAGGGAAGGAGCTGGGCAGAGGCCTTGCTCGGGAGGATGAGGAGGTGCGAAGGCAGCCTGGGGAGGCTGGGGGAGTGTTGCTGGGTGGTGATAGAGTGACTGAGTCAGGCTCCTGCGTCCTCCTTCCTCTGACTCACGGGGTGAACCTCGATAAGGCATCTCCTCCCATCTCCGGGCATGTTTCCATGGCACGGGGCAGATCAGCAAGCTCCGCTTTGGAAGCTGGAGCTGGGGTTGGCAGGGGATGGCCGGGGTTGGGTCGCAGTTCCGGGGCTGTAGGGTCCCTGTGTCCCCCCAGCCTGCCCCCTAAGCACACCTGGTGCTCACAGGAGCAAACTTCCCAAGGGGCAGCCTCTCTGACAACACTAGTGCAGTGTTTCTGTCCCCTCTGTGTCAACATGAGCATGTGTCGGGGTGTGGGACAGACACTTCCAGCTCCCAAAGGCTGAGCCCAGCTGCAGCGTGGACCTTGCTTTGGCTCTGAGCCTCCTCCCAGCATCACCTCCATGGAGCAGCTCCGAAAGCCTCAGCGTTGGGGTGGGAAGGGGCAGCGCGTCCTTTGAGCAGTGGTTTATAAAAAGCCTGCGAGGGTCGGTGGGAGATGTCTGTCCCCGCTCAGCACAGCCTGGGCTCTCGATAAGCTTTTTCCCTGGAGAAACAGCCGTGCCCTCAGTCTGCCGTGCGGGGAGAGGAGCGGGTGGCTGGGTCCAGCTGCAGCCCTGCAGAGCGGGGCTGAGACACCATCAGGGTTTGCTCACATTCGAGCTTGGCAGCCAGTCCCAGTTACCTAACTTGTTTTTGCAAGTTGGGGCTGGAAGTTTCTCACAAACAGCCGGGTGAGACTCTCGCTGTCTTCCCGATCCAGACCAAGGGTAGATACTCCTGAGGCACCTTCTCCTGGGATGTCTCAGCAGAAATATCTCAGTCTTGGTCCTGGAGAGCATTGGCCCATGGCCCTGGGATGCTTCTGTGTTTCCCAGTATCAGATGCCACTTTTTGGGGCATTCCCAGGGTGGCTGACCCTGGTACAGTTTGCCCTGCTGCCCAGCATCCCCCAGGTGACCCTGTGCCACTCTTCCAGTGAGGACCACCTGGGTTTTCACCCACCCCAGTAAGGACGTGGCCTGGCCATGTGACATCTTTGGGCCTAGGTGCGTCCCCAGGCTGCTGCTTTGCTGGATCTGGGGGGTGAGGAACCCCCAAAAAGCAATGCTGGGATGTCCCCAGCTCTGCAGCAAGTAGTGTCCCTGTCACTGTCCACTTGCCTCTGCCGGGAGCCCTTCCCCTCCCTGAGAAGGAGGGACGGTTGGTCCTTGTGCTTTATAAACATAAACATAAGACATGAAAGCAGTAGGATGGTGAGCACCCTGGAAATGTCACCTCTGCCTTCAGGGGTTTCCTTAGAGGGTGTAAGTCAACCTCCATAATGCCACCTTTGTGCTGGAAACCTGCTCCTCAGGTCCTCCTGGGTGCCTCCTGCCAGCAGCCTTTGCAAGGACTTTCCATCAGCCCCGGGCTGCTCCTCAACACCACAGGGCTGTCCCGGGCAGGGCTGGGTGTCCACAGCCGCCCTCCAGCCTGGCTTTGGGGAGGAGGCCCAGCCCAGTTCATCTGACCACCTTCCTGCCTCAGTTTCCCTCCTGCTCGCTGAGCTTTGGGCAGTGCCGGAGCAGCCCCGGCGCAGGCAGCACCTCGCGGGTGTCCTCGGGTGTTGCTGTGGTACAGAGCAGTGGGCAGGTTGTTGATCCCAGGTGTGGTCCCGGTGGAGGGGCCGTATTTTGGGCACGTCCAGCCATAAACCCCTGTGTTCTCCTCCCCAGACACCTCAATACAGAACATGCACTTGATGACCGAAGCACAGCCCAGTGTCGAGTCCAGATGCAAGTGGTACAGCAGCTGGAAATACAGGTGGGTATCGCCCCAGCCTCAAAAACCACGGGGTTAGAAAGGCAACTCCTCCCCAGCTCTGCTGTGCTGTGGCTTGGCTGCTCTCTGCAGGAGGGTGTTAGTGAGGTCGGGGACTGTAGTGACATAACCAGCCACCCCAAGGGCTCATTTTAAGCCAAAAAGTGATGGCCCTAGGCTGTGTCCTGGTAGAGACCCTCAAACTGGTTCCCACTCCAATACCAGCATCCTTGACTGGTTATGGTAGGGCTGGAGGAAGGGATGAGCCATCCCTCCTGCCCAGAGTGTCCCTGTGGGTACAAGGGGATGCTGCAGACCAGCCACGCCACCACAGTGGGAGCCACAGGGCTACCAGGCTCCTTGGAAATCAGGCCACTTATTTTGGTGGCTGAACGTGGTCTTTGGGGTGCTATTTTTGGAAAGGCAGTTCTTTAAATAGTGCCTTTCCCAGCATCTTCGACTCCCCAGCGTGTTGTGCGTAATTCAGTTAATAAAGAAGGGTGGGGGGGGAATGGGAGGAAAAGGAGGGTTTTTATCTTGAGACTTGAAAGTGGTTGAGGGGGAAAGCAGGATGGGGCAGGGGGCTCTGTCAGAGACCTGGGGGCCCGGCTGTGGGGCCAGGGGCTGGCTGGAGCTCCACATGGTTTGTGCCCATCGCGGTGCGTGGTGGTGAGTGTCATCGCGGGGGACGCCGTCCCCGGGGGAGCTTTGGGAGACTCTGCCCAGAGTTAGAATAATGGGGACTGTGGGGTAGGGGGGACACAACAAAACCTTCCCAGCTGGGCAGGCTGCAGAGCCGGCTGGGCGAAGCAGTGTGATCACATCCTGCTCCCCAGCCCTCGCTAAAGAGAGAGGTTGAAAGCAATTACTGGGGCTTAAAGAGGGGAGGGAAAGGAAGGGGGGGAAAAAAAAAAAAAAAAAAAAAAGGGGAAAAAAAAAAAAAAAAAAAAGCTGAAGGGCGAGCAGAAAGCTGCGTGTGCAGAGAGGAGAACCTGCCACCGGAGCTACCAATTATAAAGTTTTCAGCGCGGAGCTCCCGCTGTGCCGGCGGAGAGCGTCTGCATCACGAGGGGAGACCTGTCAGCTCTAATGAGCACCACGACAGCGCAAAAGCATCTGAGCTGCTCCAAACTTGCAGCAAACTCCGCTCTGGCTCCTGCCTTTAACTCCTTCCTCGCCTGACGCCCGGCTCTGGGCGCCTGCCCAGGGAGGGGGCTCGGCTGGTGGGGAGCGGGCAGCACATCGGGATGTGCCTGAGCCCCAAGATTGAGGGGTCGTGGTGGAAAGGGAAGGTGACGGGAAGAGAGCGGGTGTCACATCCCATCGCCTCCGCCGGGCTCAAAGTCTCTCCTGGTGCCACAGTGAATATTTCACCCTTCTCCGCACTCCGGGGAGTAAACAGGCCGGAGCGGGCAATTAAAGCGATGTTGTGCGTCCAGGTGGATGTGTGGACGGGCGGAGGGATGGGTAGATGGGCAGGGAGCCGCTGGGGAGCGGGAGGCAGCAGGGGCTGGAGGAGGGCGAAGGGGACGGGGACGGCAGGCGCGGGGACAGGAGCACCCGGGGAGGAGAGCGAGGGCTGCGGTGGGTGGTCGGGCCTGGGCTGTGCTGGTGGCTGGCAGCCTGAAGGCGTGGGAAATGACTCCGTTTCACCATAGATTTTTCATCTGACTGCACACACGGAGCCGGAGCAGCGGCAGCCCCTGTGCCCCCCACGATGGGTGTCGCAGCCCCCCACAGAGCCCACTGGGGGCCCTGGGAGGGCTCAGCACCAGGCTGGAGGTGGCTCCTGCAGGGACACTGGAGGATGCTGCCAGCCTAGAGCCAGGGCTGAGGGCTCAGTGGGCAGCTCCTCCCTGCCACGAGCGCCTCTGCAGTGATTGCCAGCACGGCCTGACCGTCTCCCTTCTGCTTCTTGCCTCCCGCAGCTGGCAAAGGAGAGCGAGCGTCTCCAAGCAATGATGGCCCATCTCCACATGAGACCTTCAGAGCCAAAGCCTTTCAGCCAACCTGTAAGCGTGCGTCCCCCTCCTGCCCTTGTACGTCCCCTCAGCCGCCCCCTCTCCTCCCCTGTCCCCTCGCCGCTGGCTGCCGTCCCCTCCCTGCCCTACAGACGGTCACCACGGCCCCACGTGGCCCGGCTGGACGGGCTCCCTGGGATGGGCACGCCCTGGCCACACTCCGGCACGCGCAACCTGGTCCCTGTGCGTCAGGCAGGAGTGAAACGCAGCCTGGGTCGGCACGTCATGCTGCTGCGCCAGCTCGGGCAGGGAGCGGGTACATCCCATCCCGTGGCTGCAGCCCGGTCTGTGGTTGCATCCTCTCCTGCAGTTACATCCTATCCCGTGGCTGCATCCCATCCCTGCCCAGCCCAGTGACACAATCCGGCGCAGCTGCTGGTGTGCCGGGGGCTCCCCCAGCTCCAACCTTCCCCACCCCAGTCCCCAACCTCCCGTCCTCCCTCCCGCCTCTCTGTGCAGCTGAACCTGGTCTCCAGTGCCACCCTCTCCAAGAGCACTTCCGACACGTTCCCCGACGGCTTACCTCATCCCCCCACCTCCGCCACGGCGCCCATCACCCCCCTGCGGCAGGGCCCCTCCGTCATCAGCTCTTCCACTTTACACAACGTGGGGCCCATCCGCAGGAGAAACTCGGAGAAGTTCTGCACCCCAATATCTTCAGGTGAGCTCCGGGATGGGGCTCATCACCCTCCATCGTGCGGTCTCCAGGACCCAAAGCGGGTCTCTTCACCCCCCCCACCCCCTCGTTTCTTGTCTCTCTCTCAGAACTTGCACAGAATCACGAGTTTTACAAAAACGCGGACGTCCGGCCGCCCTTCACGTACGCCTCGCTCATCCGGCAGGTGAGTGACTCCCCGCGCCGTGGGGTTCAGCTCAGCACCCCAAGACCTGCCTGTGGGGTACCTGAGGCAAAACCACGCTCTCCTCCACTTTCTTGGTCCTGGGGGAGCCCCTGCACCCAATGAACCCCCATTTCTTCCCCTCCTGCCTTGCACTGAACCCTGCAGGGGCAGCGCGAGTGATGCTTTTGGCCCCTCTCTGGTTTCTCAGGCCATCCTGGAGACCCCCGACAGGCAGCTAACGTTGAACGAAATCTATAACTGGTTCACGCGGATGTTTGCCTACTTCCGGAGGAACACGGCCACCTGGAAGGTGAGAGCAGCCCTGCTCAGCGCCGCGGGGCTCACCCCAGCCCACCCGGGGCTACCTGCTGCGGGAGATGCTCCAGTTTATATGGGCAGCTATGGTAAAGAACCAGTTCATTGCAAAGCTCTGAGATGGTGCAGGAAATGATTTTGTGGATAAATCCCACATTTTTTCCCCCCAAAATGCATCTGTGGGCTCTGGGGGTACCGTTGTTCATGCCATAGGGTGTGGCAAAGGGCTGCGCTGTAGAAACCTGGGGCTTTCTGTGGAGCTGGGGCTGGAGCAGCGCCGAGAGAAGGGCAGAGAAAAGAGCAAAATAATAGCAAATAAGGTTAATGATAACCTGGGGCTGGGTGCCACGCTGCGAGCAGGGGGGGCTGCAGCCGCGGCAGCCGTGTCTCAGTGGTGGCTTGGGGTGGTCCGTGGGGATGGTGGTGGCTGGGGGGACCCTCAGCCTGTGCCCAGTGGCTCCCCCCACCCGGTGCACGGTGCTGCACAGGCAGGTACTGAAAATTTTTGACACCCCAGAGCGGTTTGTCACTGGTCTAGGCTGATGAGTATGAATTTTGGGGCCAGCGCGCGGGTGCCAGGGCTGCTCCCCTCGTGGTTATTTAGAAATTGAGGAGTGAGAAAATGCGTCTCAGAGGTTGTGAGAAGGAGCAGGTATTGCCCCAACCGGGGCAGATTAATTTGTTGTTTCCTGCTGCGTGTATTTACTGAGACAGAGCTTCCTCCTGCTCAGGGCAGCAAGAAGTGGAGTGACAGAGGGGGGCTAACCCTTAAAAAAAAAAAAAAAAAAGAAAAATGAGAATGAGCGAGTTGCAAGCGAGATGGTGCATTTTGAAAGAGTTAAAGAGGAATCGGTTACTCTGGAGCCCAGGGCCCCCGTGTGTTGCTGCTGCAGATCAGAGCTGACCGCAGCAGGGTTTCGCTTTCTCTGCTGCAAACTTTGGGTGAATAAGGGGCGTTTTGGTTCCAAAGCTTTCTGGGTGGCCCCAGGCTTCGGCACGGCCCGTCCCGAACATCCCCGCGCGCCGAGCGGGAGGGTGCCAGCGGGAAGGAGCAGGACAAGAGCAGTTGGAGGTGTCTGGGCCATTTTTGGTGCTGGCAGTGGCCCGGCGTCGGTCTGGAGTCCCCCTCACGGCACACGAGCAGCACTGCAAGCCGGCACCACGGCGCTGGGAGCATCGCTGGCCCCCGCCACGGCCAGGCCCACGGGGACACCCCGCGTCTGGGGAGTGGTGGGGAGCCCTGGGGCAGAGATCCCAGTGCTCCCAGGATGGATTTTTTGCCATCCGGGGCAGAGCAGGGGCTGTCCAGGGCAGCACTTTAGCTGCTCCGTGCCTCAGTTTCCCCATCCGAGCAATGAGATGATGACACGTGACAATACCTTTTTGCTTCCCTTTTACTAGCTGGCAGGAATAAATGTTTTGAAGTTTTTTCTTTGCGACTCCCCCACACCCCGTGTTACCCAGGGGCAGAGTTGATGTCTCAGAGGCGCATCCCCCAGCCCTTCTGGTTCCCTTTTTGCTGCTCTTTATTTTTTCCTGTTCCACCACCAGAAGGGATGGCAGGGGATTAAAAAAAGCCAGGGGGGGATTATTCCCTTCACAACTTTCAGTGTCCAAGGCCAGGCTGCTTTTGAAGGAGGGGGGATACGCAGGAAAAAATAATGTATTTCCGCTCTTTGGAAAATGACCGTTTTCTGCTGTGGCTTCTCCCTCGTCTCCTGCTGTAGCTCCCCCCCAGGACGGGACAGGGGTGCTGGGGGCCAAAGTGGGCACCCCATCCCCACAGTAGGGCAGAACCATGGTGCAGTGTGGGGGTCCACGGGGAGACCCCCCAGCATGGGGAGCAGGGCTGGGGGCGTAAAGCAAACATCATTAGAATAGACAAAGATGAGAAGCAAACAGAGCAGCCAAGTCTGGCACTGAACAAATACTCTGTCAAAATGCAAAAGCCACGTTAGGATGAGGCAGGGGACCCACCCCCCCTTCCAGGTAGGAGGATTCCCATGGCGGGGGTGTCCTGGGACCAGCACCCTGCCCGACACCCAGCACTGGGGATGGGGCATCCCAGGCTCTGGTGATGCTGGATCACATCCTGCCCGGTGCCAGGATTTATTTTATCCACTTTTGCCTTTGCAAACACATACCTGCCGGTGTCTCGAAGCAGGGGGGAGTTGCCGGGCGGGGAGAGGGGGGATGTGGCCACTGCTGGGCTGGGGCTGCGGCTCCGTGTGCAGGAAAGGTTTCGGCTTTGCCACGCTTCTTGCCTTTAATCAGGGCTTTGTTTGAATGAGGAGTCCCCTGTGCCCACAGGAAGGAGGAAGGGGAGTGCGGGGCAGGATCCGGCCCCAGCCAGGGGAGGAAGTCCTGTGTTTGCTCGCCAAGGGACAGGGGTTCAAGGGCAGCAGCAGGACCCAGCCCCGGCTGGACTTGGGGCAGGGAGCCGGGTATTTGCAGAGCTGATGCAAGGACGGAGCGGGGGCTGGGGGCTCCTCCTGCTCCCTTGCTGGCCCAGGAGCACGGAGGTGTCTGGAGTCCCCCTTGGACATCTCTCTGTGTGGCGCTGAGCGCAGCTGGACCCTCTGCTCTGCGTGGTGACAGCAAGGGGTTTGAGGATGGGGGTGGCTCAGCCCCTCGGGCAGGGCATCTCCCAAACGAAGCGTATCCTTTGGGTGAGAGCGGCGATGGCACCGGGCTGGCACCCAGGAGTCTGGCTCTGCACCGTGCATCACCTGAGGAGCTGGGCCAGCTGCTGACCAGCGGGTTCCTGCTGCGACCCAGGGGTTCCCAGTTCCCCCCCAAAAAATCACATCAAACAGCACCAAGTGTGCCTGAATCTCCACAAACCGGCTCCTGGGAGCCACTTGCAAAGTTTCCCCTTTGGGCTGGCTCTGCCAAATGGCAAGAGGAGCAGGAGCCTGCCTGTCCCCACCGCCTGGAGGATGGATGGATGGATGGATGGATGGATGGATGGATGGATGGATGGATGGATGGATGGAGAATAAGGGAAGGACCTCAGCATTGCTTGGTTTTGTCCTTAAATTAAAAAGCAAAAAGGGGGACAGTGAGTTTCCAGAAACTCTTAACACTTTCCAGCGTGGGGGGGTTCAGTCCTTGTGTCTCCTTTTGCCTTGTTGTGTTGGCCGGCTCCTTTGTTTATACAGCCCCCGTTCGACCTTTTAAATTGCTGTTAATGTTTTAGCGTAACGAATTAGTCTCTCATCACGAATCAGGACTCGAAATAAAAAAAAAAATATATAAAAAAAAACCCTCCGAGGCCAACTTCCTGAAATTGGGGTCATTCTCATTTGCAAGGCAGAGAATCTGAGAACCTTAATGCAAGGAAATTTATTCAAAGGCAGAGCCCCGGCGTGATTAGGCCCTTTGTAATTATAGCTCGGAGAGATTCCACTCCAGCCTCCTGCCTCCCTCATGGATTAGCAAGTGAGTCGGAAAAATACACAGGATTTAATTAGAGGCAAATTAAAATTGGTAATGAAATAGGGGCAGTAGCAAATGGCAGGGAGTTGGAAGGGGAAAAGGGAGCTGGTATCTCTCGGGGCTGCGCTGTCTGCCTACGTGTGTGTCTCTTTATTTTACATTTAGAAATGTAAAGATGGTCGATGTAAAGAAGAAAGGGAGGGAAAGGACCAAAAAGGGAGGGTGGGGGGAAAGAAAAAGAAAGGAAAAGATTAGCTGGCTTTGCTGAGCATCGCTGAGTGAGCTGCGGCGGCGAGGGTGGCTCTGCTCCTGGGTCCTTGCTGGTGTGACTTGTCCCTTGTCCTCATCTTCCTCGGCATCTGGCCAAGGCCCACGAAATGGGGTCGTGTCCCACGTGCGGCTTGGGGGCTCGGCTCCTAAACCCTCTCGGTGCTGATGGGGTGAGTGAGCACTTGCAACATCCCTTGGCGGATGTAGACAAGCCGAGCGCGGCGGGGACAGCCCAGAGCCGTGGGGACCTTCAGGGGCTGGGCGAGGAGGAGGATGAGGAGGAAGAGGAGGGGTCCAGGCGGCGGGGCGAGGGCCGTGCCGCTGAGCTCTCCTGCCCGCTCTGCCCACAGAACGCCGTCCGCCACAACCTGAGCCTGCACAAGTGCTTCGTGCGCGTGGAGAACGTCAAGGGAGCCGTCTGGACCGTCGACGAGCACGAGTACCAAAAGCGAAGGCCACCAAAGATGACAGGGTGGGTCCTCCCTTCCCACGGGACCTGGCTCTGCTGCCAAACCCCCCGTCCCCAGGCCGGGAGCGCTCAGCCGGGCATCATTCTGCTTTCTCTCTTTCTGCAGGAGTCCGACTTTAGTCAAAAACATGATTTCAGGACTCGGTTATGGAGCACTTAACGCAAGTTACCAGGTAAGGAGCCAGTCCCGTCCCCGACAGGGATGTGGGGGCACTACATCCTGCGCTCGCGTTTCCCATCGCGGTCTCGCGCCCGCCGTGCCTCAAGCCGCTCTCTGTTGCAGGCTGCGCTGGCAGAGAGCAGCTTTCCGCTGCTGAACAGCCCCACCATGATCAACACCAGCTCCGCCAGCGGGATGCTGCACGTGGGCCACGACGACGTGAGCAGCACCGTGGAGCAGGTCAACAGCAACGGCAGCAACAGCCCGCGCCTGTCCCCGCAGCAGTACAGGTCAGCTTGGCTGGGGGCGAGGGGACGAGGGATAGTGCTGGTGGGTGTTACTGGGCTGCTGGAGGGTTTGGGGCTAAGGGATGGTGGCACATGGGGCACTGGGAGCTGCTCGTTGCCTCACATGGCGAGGGACCACACAGGGATGGAGGGGGTTTGGACCGAGAGCTTCCTGGGGTTGCATCCAGCGGGCCCAGCTCCCCGAGGCTGAAGGCTTCCCTCCCCGCAGCCATCCAGTGCACGTGAAGGAGGAACCAGCTGAAGCGGAGGACGACAGCAGACCCGTCTCGCTGATGGCCACCACCAACCAGAATGTGACGATTCCCGATGACAGGGACCTGGAGGAGGAGCTGCCGGTGGAAGACTTGTCCTAAGGACACCTTCCTCCTCCCCACCGAGGGGCAAACCCTTCCCACCCTCCCGGCTGGAGACCAAGCGATGGGCTCCCACCTCCCCAAGGTGACCTTCGGCGTTAACCTCTTTCTTAAAGGCACTTCCACAAAGCAAAAGGGTTTCCTTGGTGCAACAACTTGCTGACGGCGCGTCCCTCACGCTCCCCACTGCCCCGCGCTGCAGCCCCGGTGACTGACCGACCTCTGCCGTGGGGGACATCCCGCGACACGAGAAGCAAAAAACCCAAGAGCTGGACTTTTTTCTCCCTTCCTCCCTTGGTTAGTGACTGGTGAACGAGGATGGTAGGTTGTTTCTGTCCGAAATGGTCCCTCCTGCCTTCCCCGTGCGCGGTGGGCACAGGGAAGGCACCTCCGTCCCCTCTTCTCCTGCGGTGAAGGATGCTCGAGCCTCCGCCAGCGACCGCCGTGGGGAAGGGAGGCAATGCCAGGAACCCGCTGTCAGCTCTCCGTCCCCCAGCGGGTTTTGCACTAGGAGGGACCGTGAACCCTGCGCATGTGCTGCCTTTGCTCAGCTTTGGGGGAAGAAACAGCAGAAATGGAGGCAAATCCTCTGCCGTCATCTGGATGTCGGGTTTGCACCGTTGTCTTGCAGCTGGGGAAGGACGAGAACCGGCGTGTTGGTGGGACTGTGTCCCCTTTGCCTTGTCACCTCTGGCAAGTTGCTAAACTGCCTGGCGAGCAGAGCAGCTGCCCTCCCCAAGCCCCCCAGTCCCTGCTGGAGGAGGGGGCTGGTGGCACCCAGCAGTGATGACTGTCCCCAGCCGACCACCAGCGCCCGGCAGCGAGGACACGGCTCCCCGCTTCCTTCTCGACGTCGGCTGCGGCGAGTGACACCTCTGCCAGCCCACGCCGGGATGGCCAGTGGCCCCACTTCAACTTCAGGGAAAGGCTCCCGGCCCCCTGTGCACCCCGGTTCCTCCTCAAAACCGGGGCAGGGTCTCCAAGGACAGGCAGTGGTGCGGGGAGGCAGCATCCAGCACCACCGAGCCTCCTCCCGGGGGGCACCCGCGGTGACCCACTGCTCGGCCGTCCTGCTGGTGGCAAAGCCGACCCCGGGGAACCCCCGTGGTAGCCAAACCTGGCTGTGGCCAGCGAACCGAGCCTGCTGCCGCCGCAGCTCCCGCTTTCCTCTTTTCTTTTTGTTATCCTTTTGTGTGCGTCCAGATGGGAAGATACCAAAAGATTTCTAGAGACAGAAGGTCCGTAGTTCAGGTGAACAGATGGTATTAATGCCAAAAAAAAAAAAAAAAAAAAAAAAAAAAAAAAAAAAAAA